CTGGAAAAAAATACTGGATTCCCATGGGTCACATTATTTTCTTTTCAGGATCAGCCCCCAAGTGAATCACAGACACTGAATGTTGTAGGCAATGACTAAGTGAAAATCTTGTTCTTTCTCACATAAGGTGAAATTCAAATCCTGTCACACTAGGAGTTTCTAGATCACTACAAAGGGCAATTTTAGAAAACATGGGCCTGTATATGGGATTGTAAGAGTAAGATGTTAATCTAGGAGTCTTTCTATACTTTTGGCTTTCCTGAAGAAAAGGAAGTCCTACCCCTTGGCTTGAAAGAAGCTTGCTTGGGTTTAGGGAAAAAACACTGGTTATTCACATTTCTGTAGCAGGAAGTAAGTGTCTGAGGCACACCTTAATCTGGCCCTTCAAGCAAGGCTCGCTGCACACTGATCGGACCATTCCACTCTTATTCATCTGAATCCTGTAGTCATCAATGTTGAGCACACCCTCGTGCCATGTCCCAATGAGGACATAGTCATAGCGGTTGGGCTCTATGTACTGCAGGTTCATGATGTCATACCTGCAAGGGCAAAAAAGAGAAAGCAAGTTACTGTCCTGCAACATGACAGATAAAAATTTACCTTGCCCTTCTCCTTCTGCCTCCATAAATATTCATGGCATGTCTTAACACCAGGGACTAGAGTTTCATGGAAACACCAAATACTGTAGGATTTGCAGCAGAATCATGGGAAATGACAGCTCTGATTGCCACACAATTACCAATTGCCTGCCCTGCTTACATAAAACTGTGGGTAAAAAGTTGTGTGTCCAGGAAGGACTGCACATCAAAGACAGCAAGTTCTGCTAAAGATGTGCATGTAGGCACTGTCTGGATGGTGTGTTTTTCAGACATTTTTCAAGATGTCTTTAACATTCACTTGGTGCCTACATACAGGTTGGTTGCAGTATAGCCCCTGCTGGGAGCTCTAAAGTAATCAGCAGAACGTTCAAACTAACTGAATTGCTATGCCATAAGTTAACTGTAAGCACTAGTCCAACCGTTTATATTACGCAGCCCAGTGAGACTGTCAGGAACTTAGCAGCTCAGGCACCAAATTTACTTCCTTGCCCTAGGCAGGTAGGAGAGAACTTCCCAAGGCTAATGTAAAGGAAGCATAAAACACTGCTACAATAAACATTCGGCTTCCCTGTCTCCATCATTGCCTTCCATGTGTTGGACCTGATGTGTGCACATCCCTTAGTGCTACATATTCTGTTCCTTCTTTAACCCACAGAAAGTGGGTTGTGAAAATCAGTGATGAAAATTGTGGTGATTTCTTAGCAGGAAATAAGCAAGAATGGGAGAATGAATATTGGAAAGTGCACAGAGAGCAAGAGCCACAAAAGAGGCTGGACCTACAGCCTGGCCTCTTAAGATGAGAAGGAGGAGGACTTTGTTTAAGAAAAGGACAAGAGAAAGAGGGCTGAGAACCAGAAATCAACACTGGAGCTGAAAATCACAAAGCATCTTCTGTTTTCCAAGCCTGAGCGTTACTGCCTTGTTTTTCTCTACTGGGTTGTCTCAGTCTGTGGGGAAAAAATTTTTTTGTTTATAATGAGTGTTGCTTATCTGTATGTACTTTAAGAATGAAAGGTAAGCAAAGTATGAGCCATAAATAAAACTGGGATGCTTGGTTGTGGGCAAAGAGAGAGTCATATCCATTTCTTTCTTTTCCTTTCTGAGGTTCCAACATGCAAAATTTCAACTCTCTCTGTACTTCCTAGAGGAAAGAGAAGCTAGAATTACTCTCTCTATGTCTGTTTTTCTTAATTGAGTCTTTGGGATCTCTCTAGTTAAAGATGATTTAAAGAAGTGCATATTTACAGCTGTATTCAGACCTCAATCTTGCAAATATGCATGTTCAGATAATGTCAGTACCACTGCAGAGCTCCACTGAATCACATGGGAAAAGGGATTCTTGCCACTGAGTTCAATGGGGCTCCAAGCAGGAGGCAGCTCCATTGCTTGGCAATCAGCTACTAATTGAGGTGTTGCTTAGAAAAGGGATAAATTTCAAATTCCCCAGGAAACAATTCCTTCTCATATCCCCATTCTTTCAAAGGAAGAACGTAAAAAAAGGAATGCTGTTTTCAGGATTGTGAAGAATCAGGATAGCAAGAAGCAATAAGAACTGGGCACTTTATAATGTAGACTCAACAGACAGGAGTAAAATTGGGCAAGAACATACATGTCTCTTCCTAGTAAGAAGAACCTACTTGGATTTTAGTATGACCTTGTATTAGACTGATACAAAATCAGTTACTGTGGGCTGGAGGATGAATTCAGGAAGGGGAATAAAATATTACTAAAATCTCACATTTCCTTAATGGAATTTTTGAACCTGCACAGACTGTTTTCATTTTTCCAAAAATATATTACAAGGCACAGAGTGGCATTAATGCAATATCAATCAAGAGTTGGCAATTTCAGGGATATGATTGTAGGTTGAAAGCCATTCTTGTGTTTCCTTATAATACTGTTCCCTTTTCTATCAGTTATCTGTCAAAGAATACAGTATGCAGACTAAAAGCTCTTACACAGTCTTGCATATGACAAGTTGTAGTACAATGTTTGCAGCTTTGATATGCAGCTTGAATTTTAAGTGGAGAAATGTGGTCTAACAAACACATTTGGATATAGAGACGTGCATAAGTTCTTTATCCTTTTCTTCTTTTCTTAAATGAAAAATTTCTGCTTTGAGTAAGGACAGGTTCAGTGCTGCAGTACTTCCACCCCATGCCCTCACTCACACATGTACAGCTTTAACCGTTTCGGGCTGTGTCCAAACTAAAAATGATTATTCCAGAAGAAGTGGGTTTGACATGGGTTGTGAAACTCTAAGAGAGCAAGGACCATGGAGGCAGCTGGATTTCACACACATATGGCAGCATTTACAGAAGCGATTAAAACATTCTGCACATAAGAAAATGAATCTTTCTTTTAATATAAGGGCAAGCTCTCCAGTGTATTGGGAAATGATGTGACCAAATAGGTGGTGTCATATGAACAAGTTACTTGTGAGGTGAGCCAGACTGTGAGCCAGCTGGTCACAGGCACACTCTTGCTCTGGTTAGTCTGAGATGGCTGAAGTTACCTTTCCCCATAATACCAGACTGGCAGTAAGGTTTGCTATCCTGGAAGGCAGAATGGAAAACAGCAATGGTGAACAATGCTGGCATGTAACTGGCCAAAACAACCACCCATGGAGCCAAACTCCAAAACAACCACATGTGTTTTGAGACACATTCCTTTATATACTATGTAAGTTTGAAGTATTTGCATTATGCATTTTGTAATATACTCAAAGCATTAGAGCTGGTAGAGTTGCCATATCTGAAGCCAGAACAGCTACTGGAAATTTTGAACTAGATAGAGTTATATGGGTCTACATCCGAGTCTAGTTAGGGTAAAATGAACAATGTTTCTGTTAGCTTGCGAACCTTAGCATTTATCCACGCATCAGAAGTCCAGTCTAGGGGCTGAAAGTTCTGACAGTTGTCACATAACGTTTTATAGTCAGAGGCCTACCCAAATTGTTTGCCCTAGAGAGGTAATTTTTTACATACCTGCCATAAGCTAAAAGTAGGCAGTTACCCTAGAACAGACAAGAGCTCGAAATGGATCTGTCCCCTGCCCCTTGCATAGGCCCAGAGAAGGATGTGGTGTTGACTACTGCATCCCTCGCATCTTCTCCAGCCATTTCTGGGAATTTGAGTGATATGATTACTATTGAGAAAGGAAATGGGAGGTACTCAATGAAAGTAAAAAGTTCAGCAATTTTACCAGCATGTTCTTAATGACAGTATAGTAAGCACATAAAGCTGTTGATTTTCCAGAGCTACATCCACGTCATTTTTCCCAGAGGCAGTGCAGTCAGTTAAGTGACTGCATTCGTACCCTTCTGATAAAGCTCTGCTTCACATTTCTGCATAAAAGCTCTTCAAAGAAAAGATTCTGCACAGAAGAAATAAGCCTTTGAAAAAGTGCTTCATGTTTTCTAATCTCATTGGGATAAAATCCTGAAACCCTGAATTCATCCTGAGATAGAAAAAGAGTTGTATCTAAACAAATGGTTAAGGTTTGACAAAGCTGCAAGGGGTTCAAAACAGGAAATTATGTGAGTGTGAGGCAAACATAACTACAGGCATCTCTACCTCCTCTACCCATGACGATTGTAACTAGGAGTTTGAGAGAGTCAATTGCTCAAAGAACCTCACAGATTTTGAAAATGAAGTATGAGGAAGGTTACTGCCTTCTAAGAAGAAATACTGATTTATTCCATCTTGTGAAGTTAATGTGTTCACATGATATGATAACACCAAAAAACTTTTTACATATTTGTGTGACATTCTTGCACTAGTATAGAAAAGCTAAAAAACTAAGAAATTTCAGATCTGGCTCTCTTTGCTGTATTTAGGTGTTGTATGTGGTGTTCATCTTTTCATTTTGCTGAGGTACAAAAGCTCTTTTGGGTATTGTTACAGTGGTATGGTACGTTCACTCATCCACAAAGAGCTTTTCCATGTGGAGCTGCAGAAACACTAGGGCTAATCTGGAGCTAAATACAATTCTGCATGGGCATAAACTACTGCTGGCATACAAAGATCTGACAGACCATACAGATCACATTTCATATGTGATCATTTCACATTCATTTCACATCACCATTCTCTGATATGATATTGCCCATGTCATAAATGCCACAGACTGATACAAGGATTACAGCATGAATAACAAAAAGGTTAATTGAACTTTCTTGCCCAAACTTGCTAACTCCAGCTGTGAAAATATAAATGAGGAACAACAAAAAAACCACCTACCTAAAATAACCCATCAAATTCGAAATAGGCCAGGGAATCAAGAGAAATGAACCTTGCTATAGACCAAAATGATGGATGGAATAAATTCTATCATCCTGACCTACTCAGAGAAGTATGCTGATACCAACCCTCCTATATTTTGAATTCAGGAACTGTACTTTCTAATTCTATGCTTGGTACTGATGAGAGTTGTGGAAATGCTCTCAGGTGACAAGACAATAAATAAGATTTGGGCTAAAATTGGAAAATTACACCTAAACATCAAACCAAATAACTAACAGGCAGACAATGCAGCATATGCAAAGCTGGAGTAATGCTTTTATGGAGATAAATAGTGTGTAATAAACTTAAAGCTACACTAAGCAGTAATTTCTCTGTATTATCTGAAAGATATTTACAAAAATTTGATTTATGCATTTGTGTCAATAGGTATGTGTTTGACTGTAAGGGAATTGCTTGCCTCTACTTTCAAAGTCTGACCTAGCTCGTCTATATCTTTGACTAAAAAAATCTAAAGTATACAGAGCTCATTGAGGAGACCAAACTGACCAGCTTTTTCTTACTATTTAAATGTAACGAGCTGTTTAAATGTATATACAGTTTAAATATAACAAGCAATGCAAATAGCAAATAGTAAAAAAGTTGGTCAGTTTTGTTAATAAAGGCTAGTAATAGAAATAAGAGTTGCTTAAAGGCCACTGTGTCTTGCAAATACTCTCTGAAAGCGTATGCCAGACTGCAAACTCTTGTTTATTCCAGAGCACTCTCTTTGTGCAATGTTGGCACGACGATGCATTTATGCAATAAGCCCAAAGATGGAGTGAGAGAGTCTTTTATAACACTTTAATAACTCAGTAGGAAAACTAACCTCAGTGAAGTAACCGCTGAGTAGGTTTCAGTTAATAATGGATTGTGTACTTCAGCAGCTGAATTAAACTTATTTATATTAAAAAACAAACAAACAAAAAACCTCAAAAATAAACCCATCTGGGAGCTGTCTTACAATAGTTGGACAGAGCCCACAGAACTAAACAAAGAGAAAAAGATTTCTGTCAGCTGGGTCCTGTAAGAGAAAAAAAAGGTGACATCCAAGTCCACAAAGTTGCTGTCTCGCCCATTGCTCGGGTACGTACTGTGTCTGCTATGGAGGAGTAGACTAGCAACTACCACAGCTGGAATTTACCAGACCCTGAATTAGTGAAACACAGTACCTTCTGGCAAAAAAAAAAATTATTTGTCCTGCTGTACTCAGACCTATCTTTAGACTCTGGGACAGCCAAGCTTATTTGGAGTGAAACAAGTTAAAGAGAGCACACAGGAGTTCACCAAGCAGAACTAAATAGTCTCTGGCAAGGATACAGTGCTACGTCCCGGGAGCACTCGGAGCAGCAGAGATCCAGTTGGAAAAAGATGTGCTCTACAGCCCTACCTTCAAAACCTTAGCAAGCAATGCTTCATTAATTTCCAAGCACTTGTATTAGGCTTTACAGCTATTAAAACCCTGGTGCTGAGCCCCAGTGGTAGCTCAGACACCAAAAGTCTGTAAGATAGAAGTTTTGTCCTCTCCTGAAACACTAGCAATGTTTCAAGCTGTACTGTAGTTTCTGTCTCAATTTGAGCTGTAGCTATCAATATATCATGTGTTACCAGTGTTATTCCTGGCTATCGGTAAGACTAATCCAGATAACCCCATTTATGTCTCACAGTATGCGTGCTGTATGCTTCGGCAAAACAGCCAAAGAAACCTCCACCACCAAGCCCAGCAACATTCCCCCTTCCCAACATCTGGTTTAATTAGCTGAGAGAATACATCTCTTTACCTTCCAGGGGCATCTCCCTTTTCATCAAACCAAACTTCTTCTCCAGAAACACCAATGAATGAGGATTTGAGGAGGAACTCCAAGAGCTTGCTGCCGTCAATTGGCTTCATAGCATCACACAGCCCAACATGTCCAGGGCAAAGGGAATGATGCATATTTTGGAGCCCATGAGCCATGGCATATATAGCATTGATGACAAATCCCATTTTACTGTCCTGCACATAGTTTTCTTCTAGGCTTTCATTGCCTAAAATAGTAAGAAAAAAGTGTTGTTATAAACAAAGATGAAATTACATGGTCATATGAAAAAGCACTGAGAGATAAAAAGGAGTTTTTCTTATTTCTGTTATAAAGATTTAGAAGCATAAATCAGGTGCCAGCCAAGGATTTTAATTACATTTAAAAAGACCAAACTACTTTTTTTTTCAGAAATCTTTAATTCATTGAAAGCGAAATGCCTCATGAGAAAGCACCAGTTTAATCAAATTGTCAGCTTTAATTTGTTCTTTTTGGAATTTTTGCTTGTCATTCCCCAATGTTATTTATGCTAAGAAGGGTTAAACAGCCCAGCATCATAACAATGCATTTCAGCTAGAACAATTTTTTAGAGCAATTTGCTTGTAAAGTTGACTTTTTGTCACACTTCAAGGTATTTTTTTTTTATTTCATGTTTTTGAGGGCCAAGATAGCAACGTCCCTTTCAGTGTTAATAAGCAAACAACCTAAATCATCATCACTTCTCAAGTTATCAGAACTAATCATTTTAGCTAAAAGTAGTAGTAGGTATGCCAATGTGGGACTGCTACAGGAAGTCAAACGAAGTTCATAACACTAAAGGACATTTTATGTAACTGCAGCTTAGAAGATCCTGTATGAGCAGACACTAAAGTCTCTGTCCATCGAGCAGAAGCAATGTGGCAGTGAAGGTTTTCCCCACACGCAGGTTTTAGCTCTGATCTGCTGATGTGCAGGCATTGCCAGAGGGTACCATTTGTGGTTGCATTTCACATCAGACCTCACTGGCTCCTGAGCCGTTCCCCCGCTTCCCATCACGAGCTGCTGAACGCTGTCAATGCCGACCCTGAGTCATGGCAGACCTGTGCTGCAGGGATCCTGAGGGAGCTGGAAGTAAGAAACCCCCCTGTTTCATTTCCTTCCCCCCGAGTCATTTTATCACAATATGCTCCAAACTGCAAGATGCTTTTATCTGTAGACCTCCCACGTTACTTGGTGTTTAACAGGCATTTGCAATCCAGTATCTGTTACTTTGTCTAAGTAACACCTTGTCTACGCTAGGGAAGTAGGATGTGTGAGAGACTAGGTGTTAACTGACACTTCTCAAATTCAGGTTGGAGAAGATAGTTGTCATTTTAATACGAAGAAAAGAGGAAAATCTACAAGTTCACTGAAACTTTCAAGTTAAGAAATAGTTCCTTCACCTAATGTAGATATGATATGGTTTTCAAATCAAATCATGAAGACCATCCTTACATTTACCCTTTGAAAAGGCTCTGATTTGGTAAGTCTTCTCAGCTCATTCGCCCTACAGCTCAGAAATGTCAACTGGGGATTCATTAGGATAGCAGAGATCCCAAAGGCAGGTATGTCTAGGTTTCTTTCTCTGGGTCTTCCTCACACAGGACATTCATTGCAACTGGGCAGGAAAGTCTTGCTTCAGTAACTGTTATCCAGATGAGCGGAACATAGCAAACAGTTGTGATGGTGAATTAAAAAAGCCTTGTGAAAATAACATAATCTCACTGAATGAGTTCATGTGCTCCTGTCACTGCCATACATTCACCACCAGCACCACCAAGCAGGGAGCAGCTGGAGAAATATTTCCCAGAGGCAACATATCTGCCACTTTCTTTGCAGGAGAAGGTTCACAGCTCCCATTCAAATTTCATGAAACCAGTGCCATTCAGATCCATGTTCAGAAACACAGAAGGAATAGAAACTTTATATGTAAACTGACAGAATATTTATGCAGAGAAGCAAAGAGTATGCCACTACGTGTACCCTCACTTATGTATTGCATATAGTATGTACGGCATGGTCTAGACATCTGTTGCCTGGATATGTTAATGTGCAGTCTGTATATGGTATCTCTAGGTGTGTTTTACCTGCTTATTAGTCCCTTAGGATTAACACACTGTGAATTTATCACTGATTCTGCTTTCTTGTAGATAGAAAATGAATGTGTTCTCCATCCCTATGTGAATGAGAGGCAGAAAGCCCCTGAGCTCGGCATGTCAGTCCTTTCTTTCTTGTGAAGCTTCTGGGCAGCCAGTCATGGAAGAGATCACAAAATGACTGATAGGACACAGCACTCACTATCAACTGTTTTCTATGCGAGTGTTTGTCTCAGATACCTCCTTAATTTCTCAATTAGTCAAAAAAAAAAAAGGAACATAAACATCAGTGACACTTGCAGGACTTAATGATAGCATCCCTACGTGTTTCCTGAGGCAAGCATTCATGCAGCTGCTGTAGGTGGAAAACTACAAATAACAGAACTTGCCAAAGTTTTAAAAAGAGGCCATTTACCTCAAGTATGTATTAACTCAGCAAAGCATGCATTTGGTTTCTCATATTTCAATACAATATGCATACCTCCAAAAAGAATAAATATTTGATGGTGGGAGGATTTGCTTTTGACTAATTAGGAGTGAACATCTAGCTTACATTGAGGCTCCAAGCATATAGTCCCACACTGCAGAGGTGACTGCCTTAACGTCACCTATAGAAATAATTGTACTGTAGTGGAGAGCAACATGTGAAGCATCATATGGTAATGCATTCTCTACAGATCAGTAATATAAACATCTCTATGTGTAAATAAGATATTTTCCAGTAAGTCTAGTGTGCAAAGTCATGTTTTACCCAAACTTAACTTCCTGCAGGCAAAATCAATTTTATTTCATTTTCATCATTATAAGTTATCAATATACTTATGCACTTGTGTCTGTAAAAAATCACTTACGACAATCAGTAAGAAATGTGTGGGTTTTTTTAAAACAAATGAAATCATGCAATTATGTTCAGCCAGAGACAAAACAGAGGCAATCAATGTTCAATTAAGTTTTCACAGGACAGCTTTTCAATAAATGCAAGAAGTATATTATGTCTGTTATGGGGCTTCGCTGTAAAGTTGTATTTTTCCTCAGTAGGTCTTTGAAAGGTAACAAAGGGCAAAGCAGAACTCTGGACTGTGAAATGCTTATTTTTCCTTCCTCTCTCATCCTTTGGAAAAAATACCATTGATCTACAAATACTAAAACATTAAAAATGGAAAAGTATTTTGTTAGCCTTTTTTAATTGTTATTTTAGGTACCTTAGCTTTCACTAAGCAAAGAAAAATTGTAAGCCATGTGAGTACTGGATTAATTGAAGTCACTCAAATTAGGCCATAACTTTTTTGAATGACCTTGAAGAATTTAGGTGTCCTAAATGTCATACTTACTTATTTTTGTATTGGATGCAATGCAAATCTTCCTTTAATAATTTTGTTTTAACAGTTCCTCAATAGTTTGGGTCATTTTTTCTTATTACAGTTTTGGTTTTAGTCATTGTTTCTGTCAGTCAATCTTAAAGCTGAAAAAGGAGGCTGGTATATACAGACATATACTACTAAAACAAACAAACAAACAAAAAAACCCACAAAGAACCTCCAAACACCACACTCTGACTGCACACAACTGAAAAATGCTCCCAACACTGCTAAAAGTAATACCTAAGTAGAGGGGGAAGGAAGACAAGGCAGACCAAAGTTTCATGAAACTCACTGTGAGCCTTTCCTTTTACCATAATGTGCCTCAAATCTAACTAATATTAGTGTCAGCTAGGTACTTAGAAGGACCTGAATGTAAAGCAACTATGAATTTTGGCTAGTGCCTTTGCTGTGAAGTCAGTGTGGGGCTAACAGTGTTCTCGAGAGCAGAGTGGGTACTCGTGCAAATCCCACTTGACAAACTGAAATTAAGAAAAACTATACTGTCAGAACTATGGTTAGAAATTTTAACTTTCATGTATAAAGGAAAGATAGGTAAAGTCTATGATAATATTCAGTAAGAAATTAAGCACAAAGGATTAGTCATTTGCAGTCCTCAGAAAGGCTAGGGCAGGGAGGAATTTGGGATGGAAAGAAATGTAAAAACATTTTGGTTGAGGAATGTGACCAATACCTAGCCAGTTGGTAAATTTTGAACAAGCACACACATTTGCTAAAGAACACAGTCTGTTCACAGATGAGTCTTGATTAGAATAAAAATCCAAAATCTGTTGAATAAAATTGTTATAAACAGTAATGTTTCATCCGGAATAGACAGATAGTTTTATGGTTTGTTACTAACTGTCATCTGCTGAATATTCAAGGTCACATAAAAACAGATTTTGTTGCCTTGATCCAGTTAGCAACTATTATGAGAGCTATCATCTCTTCTGGTGGTCCTGACAGAGGTCTGAAGGTCTTAGAAATTGTATATACTGCCTTCTTTATTTGTAGTGGTCTTTCCTGGGACTGATATGCTTCATGGGTAGGCCATATGAGATTTTAGCTTTGTTGCGAGTTACAACATGGTGATGGGTTACGTTCAATATGAGTGCTCATTTAAGCAAAAAAACTATTCTGGAAGCACAGTCGGGGCTAAATTTCACTGGGAAGATGAAATAAAAGAAATCTCCCATACTTGGACTGCATACATAACAATCTGGCACAAAGCTGTGCCAAAGAGTAAAGAGGCCTTCCCCCCACCCCCACCCCGAATGCCAGGTGGCAGAGCAGGGGTTACACCAATGAACAGGTAGAGCAGTACCCAGGCTTGCATTGTCCATGTCCATATGCATTGGAGAAATCGTGGAGGCAGATTTCTTATGCTCTTCTTTAGACCCAACATACACCACCTTAAAAACAGGGTGGTCAAACACTGGAACAAGCTTCCTAGAGATGTGGTCAATGCCCCAAGCCTGTCAGTGTTTTAGAGGCATTTGGACAATGCTCTTAATAACATGCTTTAACTTTTGGTCGGCCCTGAAGTGGCCAGGCAGTTGGCCTAGATGGTCATTGTAGGTCCCAACTGAACTGAATTAAAAAAAAAAAAAAACAAAACACAAACCCAAAAAACCTGACTCTGAGCAAACATACCTATGTGGCTCTGTACGAGTTTGTGTAGAGATGTGCTAGTGACATAGCATGTCCTTGGAAAACAATGGAAGTCACATATCTTGCAGTGTCTCATGTTAGAGAAG